AGATATATATAAAAATGTTTTTAAAAAAAAAAAACAAAATGGAAGATGAAAAAGCAGAAGAAAAAAGAAAAGGTATGTGAGTGAGCGTGAGTGGAAGGAAAGAAAATGAACAAATGAAATATTCATACGCGTTTTTACATCGAACCGTGTTTCGTGTCGTGTAATTTTTTATTGCTCACGGATAATTTAACTCTTTACACAAAAAATTAGTTTCGGAAAACGGAAGGGAAGAAAGGGGGTGGTGGTGGTAGTAGTAGGAGGAGGGAAGGGTTGGAAAAAAAGGGGATAAGGAAAAGCGTTGTAAAATCCATATGGGGTGGAGAAATAAGAAACCCGTGAAAAAAATTGAAAAAGAAAAAAAAGAAAAGCGTATTTTTTTGTGTTTTTTATCGGGGCACCAGAAAAAAAATATTTACATAGTTTTAGTTGGAAAAAATTTGTTTCTTTAAACCCGACTGACTGACTCTTTTTTTTTTTTTTTTTTTTTTTTTTTGTTCATTGCACCCTAATGAAGGAGAGAGAGAGTTAAACAGTTGCTTCCATTTTCTTCTGCTTCATCCTCTTCTTCTTTGCTTTGTTAAAAAGAATTTGTCTTGAAAATCAATTGAAGGGTGAAGGTGGCATAAGGGATGAAAAACAGGAGAAGGGAAGGGGGGAGGGAGGAGGGTGTTTTAACAGAGCTTTGTTGTTATAACGGATCAAAAGTTTTATACTAAGATCTGCATGAAATCAGGGGTCACAAAATCAATTCGGTAAAAAAAAATAAAATTTTCTCTCTCTCTCTCTTTCTCCCTTTCTCTCTCTTTTTAAAACATTTTCTTTCTTCTTCTTACACTTTTCTTTTTTATTTATTTACACGACGTAACAAAAGAAATCACTAGGAAAATTCGTAAAAAAAAAAAAAAAGTAACCTTAGGAAAACTAACTTTTGTTATTATGTAACAAAAACAATAATCCCTTTCACGAGTAATTAAATTCAAAACAAACAAACAAACAAACAACAAACAAATTCAAAAGACCAAACCGGAAACTAGTAAAAGTTTCGAAAAAAGGAAAAACAAAAGGACAAAACAAAAAAAAAGTTTTTTTTTTTTTTTAACCTTTTCTTCTCAGATCTCATTAATTTCAAAACAAACAAACAAACATTTTTCCATTTAATTATTATAAATTAACGTGGCATAAGAAAAACGATTTTTTTTTTTAAAACGTATCGTGAATCGATTGTTGAAGGAGAGAGAAGGAGATAAAAGGATAAGTGCAAATATGTATAAAAAAACGCACACACACGTGATAAGTTGTTTTTTTGTGTAAGAGAAGAGGTGCTGGAAATTAAACCTGGAAACGCGTATCTCAATTACAAAAAATGCCTCCAGCATTTTCATCGTTGAAATCTCTGGAAAGAATTAAATATGAAGTAGATCTTTCGTTTATGATGCCTGAGGATACTTTGTACGCGGATGCACACACACACACACACACTCGAACTCGTTATTTTAAACTATACTTATACACACATTCACAACGATAAAATAATAATAATGATGATGATGATGATGATGATGATGATAACAAAACGCAACCCTTTTTTACTTACTGGAATTTGATATTTATATTAAACTTGAAAAAACAATTATATTCGAACAATAAAATTATCTATCGATTAATCTTTTCGATACAAACGAACGACAGCAAAAAAATAAAAAATTTATGGTCACATATCCGACAGCAAATGTTTTTTTTTTTAACCGCATCGATAAATCGTAGCAAATCAAATATAATCACGTGATAAAATACTCTCGCGATAATTTCTCTTAACTTATTCGTTATAATTAAACATTTATTATTATTATTATTTCGAAAGTGTTTTATATATTTTTTTTTTTTAATTTATTAAATTTCTTCTGCTTCTTCGGATTTTTTTTACGATGATAATGATGATGATAACGTGTAGTAAATAAATCGTTTGTGTGTTTATGTAACGTGACAAGATAATACACGTTCGAATAATTTAATAGAATGAGTTAATTGTTAACGATGTAAAGAAAATGATGATGATAATAATAATAATGATGATGATGATGATGATGATGATGATGATGATGATGATAATGATAATAGTAAAAATGGTAGTATACCACGGTTTCGATTTCGAATAAAATAACGAGAACAAAAAGTTTTAAAAACTAAAGGACTTAGAAAAAAAAAGAAAAAAAATGGGGATCTCTCCAATGGATTTTTAGTATTATTGTAATTTGATCCGGATACATTCACTATTACTACTACTGCTACTACAACAACACTACTTCCACGACAAAAAAAAAGGAGAATTATTTTTTAAGATAAGGGTTTGAAAGGTTTTTCATTTTTTTTTTCTTTTCCCCCAGTTGTTTTTCATGTCGATCGTTTTTTATTTTTTGTGTGTGTCGATTTTAAACGTATTAATAAATATTTTGCCGTAATGTTAGTGCCACGACAAAAACCAAATCATGCCGTTTTCTTTATTTATTATTTTGCCCGTGTACATCATTTATTTAATCATTAAGAAAATTTATATCGATCAAGGAAATGTAATGATGATGGTGATGATGATAACGTTTGTTACAAAACTCTGGGGGGGGGGAGTTGTTAATATTTTTATTGAAAACAAATTGAAATAAACACAAAAGAAAAAAATAACGTGGTCGTCCATCAGGCCAGTCATAACGTCGTCTACGTAAAAAGAAAAAGGAAGAAAAATATTCAGACATTTTGTTATTATAAACGTTCATTTAACAAATACAAAAGAAATAAAAATATTTTTCCAAAAAAAAAAAATTTCATTTTAGTTTAATAAACCGTCGTCGTCTGGGTTTATTTATTTAAACAATAGAAAACCAAAACAATGGCGACCTTCCACCCCCCGCGCCCTCACATCTCCCAAAATCTCTTTTTCTATCCATCCATCTATCCACATCCCTCCATCCCTTCATACCATTCAATTCATTCACAATTTTATTATTATTATTATTATTTCTTTCATTAAATGAACGATATTATTTATAATAATAATAATCATCATCATCATTATTTTTTTTGAAAGGTGAAAAATACACAAAATTAAATTTTCCTGGAAAATTCTATACACACACACACAAACGCAATTAAGAAATCGATCGATATCACGCACGTAAACAATTTTTTTTTCCTCCCCCTTCCTCCTCTACTTCTAATGACACGACATCGAAAAAAAATTGAATTGATAAATGTTTTTTTTTTTTTTTTTATAGAGAAATCCGTAAAAATAAAATAATGATAATGATAATTGTTTTTATTTTATTTGGAGAGAAAAAAATAGGGGATGTTTTAACCGGAAACAATTTACACCCCGATTAAATGCGATGCTTGATATCACCACACTAAAATTTTTACTGATAAGAAAAAGAAAAAGGTGATAATGACACGATGATGTAACAAACAAATCAAGGGGGGAGGCGAAGGAGGAGTAAGAGTAGGAGGAAAAGAAAAAAAATTTTTTTTTTTTTTTTTTTAACAATCGAAGTGGAATTAGAATAAAAAAAATGTCGTTTTAATTATCACAATAATAATAATACTAATGTAAAATCTTAAACAAGATTATATAAAAACCTCGAATTTATTTTAATTACGTAATTTTATTATTATTATTATTATCATCATCTCAGGTACTCGATCTTTGATTGTTTGCTTCCAGGTATTTTTTCAATTCAAAATGGCTTCATCTATATATTATATATATATACGTACTCTTTGTAAATTCCCACGGTTTTTTTTTTTTTTTTTTTTTAAACAATGACTAGTACATTTTTTTATTTATCTGTTTACTTTTCGTGTGTGCGTGTGTGAGTGCGTGAGTGCGCGTGTTTTATTCTGCTACAATTTAATTTTTTTCTAGCCATCGTTTAATGATAAATTGCAAATGTTCGTTTTACGGAGACATTTTAAAAAAAAAAAAAAAAAAAAAAAAAAAAAAAAATGGGTTGTCTTTTCTTCCTTTTATCCCCCCCCCACCCAAAAATAAAAGTCTTCTGCTTTAAAAAAAAAAAACACAATAAATAATTCGAGTTGACATTTAAGTCAAACTTGGTAGGGGGGGTTTTAAAAAAAAAAATTTTTCTGTTTGTTTTTTTTTTTTTCCACGGTACACCCGTTTTTTTTTTTTTTTTTTTACCCCCGTCGGGGAATTAGATAAGTAAATAAATTAAATAATCGTTTCGCGGTTACGTTTTTTAAAAAAAGTTTAATTATTTTATTTTATGCGTAATATTTTTCCCGTCGAAAAAAAAAAAAAATTCCGATCTGCTGACACGTCTTTAATTTTTTTTTTTTTTTTGGGAAAACCTAATGAAAATGTTAGTATGTTATTTAAAATGAGGTATAAATATATGAAAAAACAAACCCCTTTCGCTCGTTTTAAATAAATAAATAAATAAAAATCTCAAGTTAATAAATTCCGTTTGTTAAAAAAAAAAAAAAAACCATAAATAAAAATTTCCGCATGAATAGAAACTTAAGTTGTTGTTGTTGTTGTTGTTTTTGTTGTTTTGTTTTCATCGTAAATATAGAAAAACAAAATAATAATGATATTTATATATAAATATCCACACAGACGAAAAAAAAAGTTGAAAAGGATGTGTGTCAATGTTTACAGTAGTCACACAATACACAAAATTTCGGTACTAAAATACATTGCGTAAATAAAAACCTTCGATTTTTTTCTAGAAAAAAAAAAAATGGTGGTGGTGATGGTGAGGGAGAGAGGGGGGTGAAGAGAGAGAAAAAAAAACAGGAAAGATTTATATATATATATATACCGAGAGGAACTCAAACGAGATGTGATACTTTTTTTCTTTTTAGTCGGCTTATAATAATAATAATTATTATTATTATTTCTACCGTTTTTTTTAACTCTCAGTGGTACCACCATCATCATCATCATCATCATTTCCACCACTTGTGTGGCGCCCTTAAATTGACATGAAGAGATGAATCCCAAACCGTACTTGAAAACTAAAACTTAAAAAAAAAAAAAAAAAAAAAGACAACAAAACAAACTTGTTGAGTGCGCAGGTCAGTTAGCGAATGGCGCCACGTCTCCTTAGTTTCCGGTGGCCATATTTAATTCTTTTATTATTTCTATGGGGGATTTTTTTTATTTCTATTCGAAGGGATTCTTTTTTTTTTATCTCTTTAAATAATAATTATGTAATTATTTAAAAAAAAAAAAAGAAAACTTATTAATTTAATATGATGATTTAATAATTTTTTTTTCTTCTTTGACAGGATGCAACAGCAACAATTAGCAGCGCAATTAGCTAATCATCATGGATCGTCGCGACGAAACGAACCACCACCGAGTCCTGCACCATCTACAACATCGGATTCGAGTATAAGTTTGGGTGCTCATTCACCACCACCGAGCAGAACGAATTCGCTAACGTTAGGTATCGGTGGTGGTGGTGGTGGTGGTCATTCGCCTTCTCGTAGGATCGGAGGAGGATTGTTAGGTATAGGAGGAAATTCACCACCTCGTGGAAATTCATTAGCTCTCAGTCCGCATTCGCCGATAACTAGAAGTCAATCGCCGCCGAAAGGACACTTTATGGGTCTAAGAGCGAATTCCCCAACCAGGGGAGCTCATTTAGGATTATTAAATTCTCATTCACCACCGATAGGATTGACTATCGGTCCTCCCATTCCTAGAACTCACACCATAACGTTAGGCCCTCATTCTCCACCCAGGCCTATTAGCTTGGGTATACCCGCCCATTCCCCTCCTTCGGGTTCATCGTCTCATACCATAACTCAACCCTTACCTTTAACATTACACAGACCCTTTTCACCACCCAGGCTCACGTGATATCAACCTTATTCATTATATTCAACGAAAGGTTAATTCGTATTAATAATAATGATAATGATAATAATAATGATAATAATAATAATAATAATAACGAAAGTAAAAGGGAGTAAAAACAATTTCAATTTAAAAAAATGATAAATTAATTTTTTACAAACTCACACAAACACACACTCATTATTATTTATTTATATAAATTGTTTATAAAAAAAAAAAAAACATTACAACAAACAACAAATTATTATTATTATTATTTTTTTTTGTTTAAACAAAAAAAAAAAAACACAGAGAGTAGTTTTTATTAAAAATCAATCTGAAAGGCAACAAAAAAAATAATAATAATTTTTTTATCCTTATTTATTTATTTTTAATGATACCTCTTGTTGTTACTTTTACTACAACCACTACATTTACTTAATTACGCTTGTAAAACAAAAAAAAATAATGCTAAAATTACTACAAATAATAATAATGATAATAATAATAATAATAATTTTTATAAAAAAAATTTAAAAAAAAAATAGTAAAAATAATAATTATTATGATTATTATTATTTTTTATTAATTTAAAAGATGGCGTTCGTTTTAATATAAAAAGCGGCAAATATATATAATTTATACATGACGACAGTGATGCCAACTTGAAACGAAAAATAATAATAATAATAATGTATCCCATAAAATTATCATAAACTTTAAAATAAATTAATGAATGATCATGAAAAAAAAATTTTTTTTTGTCTTTAAATTTACGCATTAGGATTATCATTATTATTATTATTATTGTTACTATTATTATTATCAATATCATTTTTATCATTATTATCATTATCATCAGTATCATATTTACGAAAGAAAAAAAATTTATATACATATATATATATATATATATTATTAGATTTTTATTTTTAAATTTTCTTTTTTTTTTTTTATTTTTATTTTTATTATATAATAATAATAATAATAATTAATTGTTTTATTAAAAAAAAATTATTATTATTTATTTATTTATTTTATTAACAAAAAAAAAATTTTATTTAAACAATAGTTTTTTTTTTTTTAAATTATTATTATTAATTTTTTTGTAAATTTAAAAATCAATAAAATTTTCGTTAGGATTCATTTGGATTTAAGGAAAACAACGAACGATTCGGATTTTAATTCATTTTTAATATGTTGGCAATAATGATTACGTATCGGGGGGAGAAGGGGGAGGGGAAACGGGAGGAGGGATTAATGTCGATCGATGTGTAAAATTTTTCTAGATTTTTTTTCTACAACTTTAAAATTTTTACGAGTCGAGATTCATATTTTTTTTTTTGTAAAAAGAAGTCAATGAATGAATGAATGAATGAATGGAAGAAGGTGCAAAATCGTGATTTCTTATTCCACGATAAAAAAAAAAGTTAAATACACGGTTATTTTATGGCGTTAAAAAATAATTGGATCGAAATTGGAAAATTTATGTATTAACTCGTTTCGCAACTTTTTTTTTCTTTTTTTTTTGTAACCGAATAATTACAAAGCCGGGTACGTTGAATTTTACGTTTGTTTTTCTAAAACTCACGCACGCACACGCACACACGCACACACCCATTTTTTTTAGTGCGTTTTCCCTTTAAAATTAAATTTTAAAAAAAAATCCGTGTGAACATTTAATAAAAGGTCAAAAAATAAAAAATATTTTTTATTGTCAAAAATCGGGGGGAAAAAAAAAAAAATTATTACTCTTTAATTACCGCGATTTGTAAAAATCTATGACTGTAAAACATGGATTTACCGGTTTTCGTGTAATAAGAATGACGGGGTTAAAGAAAAATTAACGTGGCATTTGTTGTTGTTGGTTGGTTGTTGTTGTGAATATTTTTGACATAACATTTTTCATTCTCTCGTGATTTACTTTAAACGTTTCTTATATTTTTAAAAAAACGTTACGGATGCGTAAATAAAAACCGGAAGTGATCTCTCACGAGCACTGGGTAATTATTTAAAAATTATTATTATTTTTTTATGTCAAAGTTCAAAAAATTAATTTTCTTCTCTTTTTTCCTCTTTTTTCGTTTGCCTTTCGGACTTTTAGCATATTAAAAATATATACATATATATATATATATATATATATATATAGTAAATATAAATATAGTATATATAAAATAAATGTTATGTAAATTATATATATATTATTATTATTATTATTATTATTATTATTTTTTATTTTTTATTTTTCGTCTGCTCCATTGTAAATAAAAAAACGAATATCAAAAAAAAAAATTAATTTTTTGTGTTCTTTGTTTTATTTTTAGCCTTTTTTCGTCTCGTTTTTTTTTTTTCAAAATGGCGGAAACGAATGATAAATTTAAGCTAACGAAAATTTTTTTTTTTTAATCGTTTACGTGCATCTCGAACGAAATCGGAAGCATATGTTCGATATATCTCGAAATTTCTAACGATTCAATACGATAATATACTCTCACGAACAATAACGACATTTTCATTGTAAATACAAAATTGGAAAAAAGAAAATAGTAATGATAATAATAATAATAATAAAAATAATAATTAGGGGTTCCGTTTATTATTTAATAATGTCATTATTACTTATGAAAATAAGTATACCGATGATTGATTGTTCAGGTGTGGAAATAAAGGTATTTAAATGTAATAATAATAATGTCTGAAAAAATAAACTTAACGTACACACGCACACACGCACTCACGCACAAACAAGGAAAAGAAGAAAAAGAATGAAAGAAAATTTTAGTTGCTTTTATAATTTTTTTTTGAAAACATCAGATATGAAAAAAAATTTTTTTTTTCTATCTTTATCTTTACTATAAATATTTCAAAGTCAATGAAAAATAACCGACCCTTAGGAAAATCATTTTAAGAATCTAAAGAGTGAGAGAGTGAGAGAGAGAGAGAGAAACATTTATTTTTAGATATTTTAGCAATAGAAAAAATAATAATGGAAAAAAAAAAAATGGCGTCGATAATCTCAATGCAAATTCTTGTATTGAAAACAACCATTAACCGGTGGTGGTGGTAGTGGTGTTGTTGGTAGTGGTGAAATATTTTCTATACCATCATCATCATTGTCTACGAACACCTTTTTTTTTTTTTTTTTTTTAATACAAAATTGATATTGAAGGTGTCAAACCGTCTTGTTAATTCTTCCGGTCCCTGATTTTTCAATGGATATTTTGTCACATTATTGAAAACACACCTTTTTATATCCCCTGTCACATTAACAATTTAAAAATCGCCACTAAATGAACTTGTAAATCCACTCGTTGTAACTTTCACGCCTCCGTTTATGAACTTATCTGATTACTTTTTTTTCTTCTTCTCTTTTTCTTTCCCTTTTATTCTTTTTTTCAAAAAAAAAATTTAATTTTGAGCCTTTTTAAAACGTGACGCACTCACGTGTACAGTATGTGCTGTGTAAAACCAGTACCACTACCTGATTACCTATTTATATTAATCAACACCGTAAAAATCCTTGTGGATTTTTTACCGTTGTTCGTTTTTCTTTTAACCTTCATTGTCGATCAAAACGATAATAACAAAAACCCGAATTTTATAAAACTATAAATATACATTTTTAAAAAATATTCCATTAACGAACATCCATTTTCGATACGATATCTCGAACGATAAAAAAAATTAACGATAAGTAAAAAAAAAAATTGTAAATATTCAAAATTGTTTATTTATTTGTTTACATAACGAATAACATGCAAAAGAGCGCGAAATTTCCCGGGTATTTTTGTCGCAATCCTGTAAATGACGATTAAAATCAAAATGGCGGACGCGATTATTGTTGTGTCTGTTCGCGAATTTGATTTTTTATTGTAAATTAATGTAATTCCGAGTGTTTTTTCTAGAATTTTCTTAATGGATTATTTTAAAAAGTAAATCGTTATATCGGAGTGAATTGTCGAGACGGAGAGAATCGTAATTATCTCGAAATTAATAATAAATTGAATGAATCAATTATTGTATTATTAAAGGATGCATAGAAAACATAATCCATTGTTGTTAAATAATCGTTCGGTGAGTAACGAAACCTGAAACTTTGATTCTCTCCCTTTTTGTAAACTATTTTCTAATTAATTCTTCTTTTATTATCTGATCTGATTATTATTATGTCGAATAAAAAAATTGGAAATGAGAGAAAAAAAAAAAAAAAAAACGTTTCACGTTTTACAACATTCAAACATCTGAGTCATCAATTAAATAAAAAAAAAATTATTGATTGTATCGTTTGAAAAAAAAAAAAAAAAAAGGTTTTTTAAGGTACGTTTTTTTTTTTTTTTTGCTCTCTCTCTCTCTCTCTCTCTTATACCAAAAAAGAATAATTAATTTTGGAATAAAATCGATGAATATGATATTAAACAAATAGTTGGCAAAATAAAAATAAAAAATTGATATCAAAACCTTCTTATTATTTATAAGATGGGAAAAGGTTAGAACCTTTTAGAAGGATCTGTCAGGATTAGTTGAAAAAAGATCAACGTCCGAATAAAGGTTTTTAACAAAATCTAAACAAAAAAGAAAATCTTAAATGTTCGTAAACAATGTTTAATATATACGAAGGGTCGAAAACATTATTTAAAATAATAATAATAATAATAATAATAGTAGTAGTAGTAGTAACCATTTGAAAAAACAAAAAGGATTTTATGATTTTTCTATTATATATTGCATAATAAAAATCCGGGGATGTAAAACGTCCTTGCAAGTATTTATTTTTTCCATTTACAAAAATTATTATTATTATTATTATTATTATTATTATTAACGTCAGAGAAAAGGCAAAAAAAAAAAAGAAGAAAAACAAGTTGAAATAACATAAAACCACCGCAGCGTAAAGCAATTAATCAATATTAAATGGGGAATTATAAAAGATGAGGATTTACTCTCTCTCTCTCTCACTCTCTCTCGCTCTCTCTCTCTGTGTGTGCGTGAGTGTGGGTAAGTGCGTGTTATATACAATCGGA